TGCAAGGCCAGCCTGAACTAGAGTGAGACCCTGTCTCAAAAAAAATAATGTCATTAGGATGATGATGATGAATGTGCTGTTTTGACATTTCTCATCTTTATCACAGTTCTATTTTGTAAGTTCCTTAAAGCAGATATTGTGAGTTTTGCATTTCAAAGTGTTTTAATTTTAGATTTGATATTATTTCCTTTTATAGACATAGTTCAAATGCCATAAGTCACCCATTTAAAGTCCACTGCTTTGTTTAATATATCCACAGCTCTGCGACCATCACAACATAGTTTTAGAACTTTTGAGTACCTCAGAAGAAGCCCTGGATCCAGGGTGCCATCCCTTCTCCTGCCCCAGGCGGCTGTTGCCATCTGCGCTTTGCCTGCCATGCACATTTCATGGCACTAATGTCATGGGTCATATTGCTTTTGTTTATCCATTTATCAGTGGATGGATATTTATATCCTATCTAGCTACAAGACATGTCTTTCCATGGCTACCTTCTTCAAGACCACAATTACTGTCTTTCAAACACAGTTGAATAAGACCATTCACACTGTCTTTCAAGAGTGATTTGCCTCAAACAAGTTTCAGAGCTTTTCCTCTCCCTAAACCTGACATCGCTTGAGTGCACCCAGCCCTGGTCACCAGGAGTTGTCTGTCTGCACTATAGGCTGGGTCACAGAACCCAGAGTGAGTGAGTGGCCCAGCACTGGAGGATCTCTTTTCTCCCCTGGCTTCTCAGGTGGAAAGGGAGGAAGGGAAAGGCTGTTCACAGTGTGCATTAGGAGCACTTCCAAGGTATGCAGAACCATGGGAGTGACTGGTTTACATTTGATGTTTAATTTCACAAAGTGAGACTAGCCAGCCTCACATTTACTGGGAATTTCCTGAGTGCCTTTGCCCGGGAGATGCTGAGCAGGTCGAGTTCTGGAGCTAATGACTTCTAAGGAGATGAAGACCCCAAGTGGTGACAGTGACCAGCCTGAGCTGGAGGGCCTGGGGCAAGCCCCACCCACCCACCCCGTGCCTCTCCAAAGGTCAAGGCTCAGGGCTCTGCCCTAACTGGGCTCAGGCTTGTTTGTTATGGCTCTGTGTCCAGTTGAGGTGCCTCACTGATTCTCAGTCTTATCACCAAGGCAGAGGGTCAATCTGAAAGTTGCCCAGTGGCTGGAGGAGTGGGTGTTCTGGCCTGTAACACCTCTGATATCTCCGTGGCATTCAAGGCTTGGAAAATGATAACATGTCAAATTGGATCAGGACAAGTTTTCATGTTTACACCACACACAAAAAAAGAGGATGGAGCAGGAACAATATTTCATGAGTATAAAGGATTGTTTATTCATCATGAGCAAGGAGCAAAATGTTTTCCAGAAGCACAGTTTAGTGAGGGGAAAAAGCTTCACATGTTTTGCTCATCTTTGTTCCTTACTTTCTCTCTTCGTCATGAATTCCTGACCATTTTCAAATGGGGTGGAAATTTCTAGTATGGCCCATTTGTAGGATTATTGTAAAGATGGAATAAGTTAGGATGAATTTTAAGTTATTAGAACAGAAAGAACAGAGAGTAAGTGCACAGTAAATACAGTGTCGTTACACTGTTGTTCCTCCTCCATTCATGCCACACATTTGTGTGTGTGTGTGTGTGTGTGTGTGTGTGTTTTACTGAGGCTTGAATCCAGAACCTTTGCACTGAGCTAGATCCCAAGCCCTTTGTTTTTCATTTTTTGAGACACAGTCTCATTAAGTTGCTAAATTGCCCAGTCTGGGCTCAAAGTTGTAATCCTCCTGCCTCAGCATCCCAGGGTGCTGAGATTACAAACGTGCCACCACACCCAACCCACACATTTTTTTATTATCTACTATATGTATTTGCTGAATATTTGGAGAATAAAATATTTAAGAAAAAGGAAATAGGTTCTGCCTTCATGGGTTTTGTAGTTAGTGAAGGAACAAGAAAAATACAAGAATATCTAGAACACACGTGAGCCACATTAAGTGCCTTACCTTAATCAGGTTTCCAGGCCAATGATGATGACAAAGATGAACACCAGAGTACAAAAGTCTTGATTCAAATCCCTAAAGGTGCCCAACACAATAGCGAACTCGTGTTTAATGTTAAAGACTCAGTGTGATTGTTTCCACCTGGGAAGCCTCCTCAGCATTCCCCTAGGCAGATCAGGGTTTCCTCCCTAATCCACGTTGCCCCCCCCACCCTGCCTCTACTTCTATTTCCACACCTCTAGCATATCCCACCCCCATTGGGTTACACATCTGTTCCTACCTGCTGCATTTTGTGCACTCAAAGACAGAGACCTGTATTTATAATCCTCAGAGCCAGGTACAGTGCCTGGGACATACTGGCCAGGAGTCAATAAGAAGACTAGGGGAGGGAGGACATATCTGATTTAACTGTGTAAAGAAAAGTGGTGTGAAGTGGTGTGCTGTGTTGTTCATTCCAGTCAAGTCCTTTCACTTGGGAGAGGCTCAAAAACCTGCCTGCAGGCCACTGCAAGGTCACCTTTAGGGTGGACAGGATGCCTCTTCTTCCTGTTCTTGGAAACTAAAATTAAATTTGTGCATTTCTACCTTCCTGTGGTGGATGTGGTAATGAAACAAAACAAATCACAGTATGGAAGGCAGACCCAGGCTTTGCTTTCTTCATTTGCAAAATCAGCATCACTACAACCTCCTGGGACTCCTGCAGATTAAGAGCACTGGATACTGAAGTGCTTCTCACTGGGCAGCAGCTTTCATTTTCACTGACTGTGATTTACTGTGAGTTCTAGAGTTTATCCCGGCTGAAGATTTGAAAATCTATTTGGCTTTGGCTTTTCTGTACTCTCTTGAGGTGCCATGACTTAAAAACTGGTAAAGGGCAGGCCGGGGATTTAGCTCAGTGGCACCACGCCTGCCTCACAAGCGCAAGGTCCTGAGTTCGATCTCTGCTACCAAAAAAAACTGGTAAAAGAAAGAATTAAGTATTTATCTTGCCTTTCTTTTAGGAACTCTACCACAGATCAACTAAGTAATTAATGACTTCAAATCTTCTTTTTAAAGAATGTCTTAGCTAACTGAGGAATAAATGATAGATTGTCACCAATTTATAACCTCCAATGGATGGATCTAGGTAATGATCACCAAGGGCTGCTGACATCACCCAAAGAAACATCCTCAGGTCTCATGGAGGCTCTGATGGAAAAACATAGCTCCTCACTATAAACAGTCTCACCAAAACACAACGATGGAATACAAAGTTGATGAACCCTCTGCGTATAATCACCAGTATATTGCAAGTATTTTTAAGTTGGAATCCACAAAAGCTACACTGTAGGAAACTACAAAACAAAGTTCTGCCACTTAAAGGAAATGGGAGATGTGGGCAAAAAACTTGGGGTTAACAAATATGAATGAGTATATTAGCCAATCAGAATATACAGATCTTATTTTCACCCTGATTCTTTTTACATACATATTTTTAAAACAATCATTTATGACCTATGACATAATAGAGGAGAGATCTTACAAATAATCTTAAACTTATATTTCTTCTTAATGATGTCCATTTTACTCTGTCCAACTCCAAAGAACACAGAGCTAAAAGAGAAATTAGGCCAGGTACAGTGGTGCATACCTGTAATCCTAGCACTGAGGGAGGCAGAAGGAGGAAGATCACAAGCTGAAGTCCAGTCTGGGCAAATTAGCAACTTAGGGAGACCCTATCTAAAATAAAATTTAAAAAAAATTTTAAAGGGCTGGGGATTTAGCTCAGTGGTAGAGAGCTCCTAGTATACAAAAACAAAACAAGAGAGAAATCAGGCCTGCCCCTAACCTTGAAGGGCCTAGATCAAGCATGCAAATAACCTGCTTACCATGTGTTTAAATATCTAGTAGTTAAACAACATGTCAGCTTTGATAAGCCCTTCCCCAAAATAGAAAAAGCTGGATCCTGGACAAGGGCATGTATGCAGGTTGCTGATTTGGGAACTGATATAAGGGAGAGGCATAGAGGTCTTAGAAGAAGGTGAAAGTTAAGAAGAGGAAGCGAACCCAATGTACATCATCAAATGTACACCATTCTTGTCAGGTAGGGTTTCTCCAAGGAGCCTGTAGAATCCTCTCCCTGAGGGATGGGAGAGTGTACACCCATTATGCTTGGGATCTGAAATGTCCCCCAAAGACTCATGTGGAAGGCTTGGTCCCCAGTGTAGCAATATTCAAAGGTACGGCTTCGGGGACTAGATCATGGGGGCTCTTGTCCATTAGACCCAATGGATTAATCCATGGACTATTGGGAGGTAATGGAGAGTGTAGGAGGTGGGGCCTAGTTGGAGGAAGTGGGTCAATTGGGGGAGTGGCCTGGAAGGGTTTACCTTGTTTCTGGCCCTTCCTTGCTCTGTTTCCTGGCTGCCATGAGATGAGAAGCCTTGCTCCACCATGCCCATTCACCATGATGCTCTGCCTCACCACAAGCAGCAACAATGGAGCCAGGGAATCATGGACTGAAATCTCTGAAACCATGAGCAAAATACACCTTTACTTCTTTAGATCATTTTTCTCAGGTATTTCATCACAATGACAACAGGCTGACTAATACAACACCATCTGAGCTCTGCTTCAACTAGTTGAGGGTTACCTGAAGGGTGCTGATTCTCTAGCACTTCTGGGTGTGCGCTTGTGTCAGAATGGCCAATGTGATTTGAGCAGATGGGCAGCTCAAACATAGGATGGACATAGGGCAGCCCCAGAGCAGAGGATGAACAACCCACAGAATAGCTAAAGCAGGGAGCAAAGTGCTACCAGATTACCCAGCATGCAACTTATTGCCATAGTAATAGCTGGACTGGAAGATGTCAGGAAGCAGAGAGCTGGAGATGACCATTACATGGACCAAGCTAGGATACTGTTGAATCAAACATGCCCCACCCTCTTGTTGTGACATATACACTGTCATAATGACTTTGGCAGACTTAAGCTATCTCAAGCAACAGAGATGGGTCAGGGTCCAGCTGAGCCAAAAGCTGTGCTTGAATGACTTGGGGTGCTGGAACTGTGCAGAGCAGGGCCCTCCATGGAGCTGCTCTGGGGTAACATCCTGGGTTCCTTACCTGACCTCCCTTTAGATGTGGAATTAATTTGGTCCCAGAGTGAACCATTAAGCCATGTAGAGAAATTGCCATCTTTCTCTGGAGTGGTCTCTACTGCCATTTGACACACCTAAGCCATGTGGCTGCTCCAGAGAGCCTTGTTAGGCTATTTTAGTGAAAACATTCTCAGAATTTATGTTCCAGTTGGAAGAGTTGTCTAGAAGTCACAGAAATGGCCAATCACGCCAGCCACACCCCCATGTGAGCTCCCTTTCTCCTCAATCCTTACAGGCACCTTGCAGGGTTTGTTGAAGGGAAAGCACTCAGGGTTGGGTTTCTGGCACAAGGAAAGGATCACACTGATAAGTTTTATCTATTGGACAAGCTATCTACTGGACATCTCTGAGTCTCAACTTGGCCATCTGTAAATAGGGAAAAAGAACAAATGCCTCATGAGGCTACTGCGGGGATTAACAGATAAAGTATAGTTGGGTTTAGCATCTTTTGTAAAGGTCTTATAAAGGTGAAGTATTGTTACTTTTTTTCAAACTTTGTTTTAAAACAGAATTCAGGAGAGCTTCTAAAAGGTGCCAAATTATAAGATTAAAAATAAGGAAATGACGCCTACCATGGTGATTCTGGCCTGTAATACAGCTACTCAGAAGGCTGAGGCAGGAGGAGGGCAAATTTGAGGCTGGCCTGGACAACTTAGCGAGACCCTGCCTCAAAATAAAATATAAAAAGGGCTGGAGATGCAGCTCAGCACTCCCTAGATTCATGCCCTAGTACCGGAGAAAAAAGGAAATGAGAAAAACCACAGTCAAAAGGAACATCACATGATCCTAGAGAATCATAAGGGTTTGGCTTCCTTACCTCAGATATCTGCTTGGCCATTCCTTCATTCACTTGTTCTTTCAGCACAGAGCTCTGGTTAGCTCCTGAGCAAGGCCTCATCTGCAAAGGAGTGAAAGAGAAGCCCAGAGATGGCAACTGAAATACAGCTCTTGGCAGGAACTAAGGGAGGGCAGAGAGGAGGGCAGGTGGGCTGGAGCTTGCCTGGGGAGATCATGTGGAGGAACACTTGTCCAGGAGGACAGAGTTTGCAGTCATCTCCTGTCCTTTGTGCTTTGTGCTTTGTGCTTTGTGCTCCTGTTTTAGCAACCACCTCGGGTGAATGTGATAAGCAAGATGGCCAAGGTCAACACCCAATACTCCCATCCATCCTTGACCAGAGTGGAAACCATGGACAGAGACTTTGATCATGCTAAAAAAAGCCTCAGCAGGTCAGGTGGGATTTTTGTTGTGTGCCTGTCAGATTTAACCCCTGTGAGGTTTTTCTCTGTGGGAGAAGACTACCTTAGCATTGGCTGGCCACAGGTTGGTGGCCATGCATAATCACCCCATTGTTGCAGATGAAACTACTATAGAAATATGTCCAGGCTGCCACACTTTGCCCTGTATGCCTAAAAAATGTCCTGAACTCTCTCTATGCCAACCCCCTCCCTGGGCACCGAGGATGTAGTATAAGCTCTGCCCCTCACTTCCAGGGCAGCATCAGGATTCAGGCCATGTTTGTGGGCCTGTGTGGGAAGTGGGCGGCCCCTTGCCAGCCAACCCATCAGTCTCATCGATGACATCTGACTCGGGCAGCCATATGGAAATCGGGGGCCTTGAATGCTACTTACAAGTTACAAATAGACCTTTACTTCCCTACACCTCAGTTTTCTTCCCTGTAAAATGGAACAGCATTCTTTCCCCAGCTCCTGGAGATGGTAAAGATGCAAGAGATTATCTATGTGGCTCACATGGACCACACTTTTATGTCTCTTAAATTCTCAATGAGACAACTGAGTTGAACCATAAGAAACTTTTTTTCCAATATTCATGTTGTTTTTGTCCCGCCCACATAGAATTGAAATTTTTTCCCTGTTATGAAATGTAAATGGATATTACCTGATTGTCCCAAAATGCAGTGACAGCCCTGCACCCCCACACCCTTCACCCATCTTTCTCTTTGCTCACCTGCATGTGGCACTTCCTCTCTCAGGGGCACATTTGTGCTTTTCTCTCTCTACCTTCTTGGTCCCAGCACCTCAGCAAACACTGCTAATAAGGGATGGTCAACAATCCCAAAGAGATGGAATCCCCATTATTGCAAATTTGTGCAGCCCTTGCACTCCATCTTCTAAGATTCGGGTAAAGGAAAGAAATCTAGAGTAGCCAACAGATATTTATTTCCTCCAACCATTAGAAGCTGGTGCTGGAACCCCAGGAAACTGCCTGTGACTTCGGAGGCATCAGAAAATCCCATCCTACCCAAATATGTCCCTCTCACTGGCCTGGCCTTTTTTTTCTTTTTTTTTTTTTGGTACCAGGGATTGAACTCAAGACCTTGAAGTTTTGAGGCAGGTGTGGTGCCACAGAGCTAAACCCCAGCCCTCACTGGCCTTTTGTAAATGCCTGTAGCCTGCTGGTGGGGACTAGTTCCTATAGGTTAAAGCATTGCCCCTTACTTAAAAAGAAAAAGGGCACCATTAGAACACTTACATCAGCTAAAACCTTGATATGCATTAATAGTCTCTTCCCCATAATGAGCTACTAGAGGCCCCTGAAAGGGAGCTTTGATCAGAGTGTTGGGCCCCAGCTCAGTCCCGGCAGTGATGCCAGGCTTCTGGACTCGGGCCCAGTGGGAGAAGCACAAAAGCTGCCAGGATCATGGTTATTTCAAGGAAAATGGACCTTTCCCAATTGTTCCCTCTTGCCTGTATGAGCCAGAGTCAAGCTCTTCGTGGGGCATCCAGACTCCCTAGGGCAGAGAAGGTAGCAGGGAAAGATGTGCTTTGGAAAAAACACATCTTTGCCTTGAAATTCTTGCCCATTAAAAAAAGATTCGAGCCAGGCATGGTGGCCCACACCTGTAATCCCAGCATTCGGGAGGCTGAGGCAGGAGGATCACTGGGAGTTTGAGGCCAGTCTAGCCTACATAGTGAGTTCAGGGCCAGCCTGATCTACAAAGGGAGAACTTGCCTCAAAAACAAAACAAAACAAAAAAACAAATAAAAAACAACAAAAAGAAAATTCAGGGTCTGTAATCCCAGCACTTAAGAGGCCGAGGTAGGAGGATTGTGAGCTCGAGGGCAGACAGGGCTACTTAGTGAGACCCTGTGTCAAAAAACAAAAACAAAAACAAGAAAGAAGGGAAGGAAGGAAGGGAGGAAAGATGAAAGGAAGAGAGAAAGAAAAAAGAAAAGAAAAGAAAGCTTTTGGGATAAATAACTGGACTTTGTGGCTTTGTGTGCTACAGTATCAGAGACTGTTTAATGATATCGAGAAGCCAGCAGGAGCTGTGTTCTGTGTGTCCCTTTGCTAAGTGTCCCCAGGACCAAGGAGCTACCATATCTGGCTTCCCTGAGACAGCCCTGCCTATGCCTCACCCTAGTCTTTCACCAAATCAGTGGCCCGGTCTTCTTTTTCTCTTTATTAAATTATTGGAGTTATCTTCCCAAGGAAAGTCATAAAGAAGGATAAAACTGCTTCCTTTGCATGAGAAAATTTTGGACCCCAAAAATACCAGAAATAAAAATGTGTTGCTTTTCTTTTCTGCTTAGTCCTGCTTATCAGACTCAATTATCTAGGACCCATCTGGCATATTTTTGAAGATAATGCAATAGAAAAAGAATGAAGAATATGCCTCAGAGAACTGCAGCAAGAACAGAGGGCACCCCGAAGCTGACCCTGTCCTGGGGTAGCTGTTCTGAGTGAGCTTTGGGTGTAGGGGTCGTGTCCTACAGAAGAGGCTTTCTCTGTGCCACTTCCTCAGTGGAGCCCAAAGCAATTATCACCCGAGAAAATCACTTCTACCTGCTTCTCCTGGACCAGACTTAAAAAGTCATTGGCTTCCGTTGCCTGTCACATCATTCAAATTCCTTGAGGCTCAAGAAGAGGAAAAGAAACATAAAATGTCATGTTCTCTGGCCTTATGCTGAAAGGCCACCTCCATTTACTCTCACGTCCCCAAGTCACCAGACAAAGACACAAATACTCTGGAGTGAGAAGTTAATTACTAGATCCAGCTCTCAGGGGAGACTTTGTCCTCACCCAGGGACAAAAGACAAAGGAAGTCACCACCTAGCCAACATTAATCCCCCTCTACAAATAAACTCATAAGCTGAACACTTCGGGTGAACCTGCCTGTCTCAGAAGAGGCACCGGCGGTGCTTCACTAGTTGGCCTTGTTCTTGCTGATGCATCTTCTCCACCTGAACCCAAGCCTGTGAGCAGAGGGCCAGCTTCAGGGTCCTGGTGTGGTCTGCTCATCCTACAGAGCCTGAGGCGCAGACACGGTGGTGCCCTAGACCCCTCTGCCAGCTATGGGCAGGACCGGGGCTGGCCCCAGACTCCCCTGCCTCTCTGTGTCCCTGGAAGCTCCCAGCCTCTTGCACTGATTGCCAATAATATCTTCCATTTTTCAGTACCTGTGTCTCTTTGAGGGCTCAGATGTCACCTGAGACACTCAGTTCCTCTCCTCTCTTTCCATCTCCATTCCCCCTGCTTGGTGAAGTCTGCTTCTCCGAGAGCTAACTGTAAGCATGCATCACTTCATAATAGGGACACTTTCTGAGAAATCCATCACTAGGCAATTTTATCATCATGCGATCAGTGTGAGTTGTTAGTAAGTGGTAGGAATTTTTCAGTTCCATTACAATCTTCTGGGACTACTGTCACATATGTAGCCCATTGGCAACTGAAATGACTTCATGTGGTGCATGACTGTAACTGGGCTTCCTTATAAATACCTCCCAGCATTCAACGAGGATAAGTAAGACTCAGAAGCTAAAAGAAAGACACAGATTTGGCAGAATTTCAGGCTCTAAGAAACAATTACGGAGTTGATGCATGGGGAAGAAAAGGCCTCCTTGTGCCCCCTGAACTTACGTCCAGAAGGCTCTCCCTGTCCTCTGAGGCCAAGTGAGCCTCTCTGGGACTGGTGTTTGAACAATGCTGAAATCAAGATGAAACTGTCAATGTTTTCTTTATTTCCTTATGAAGATCAGGATGTTTCAGTTCTGAGGGTAAAGTGACCAGGCCACTGACACCCAGCTGACAGGTGCTGGAGTAGGGAATCAAACCCAGGCCTCCTGGCTCCCCACTGCCACTTCCCTGTGATTGCCACATGATCCACACACAGTGGCCAGACACAGGTTTGCTTTGGGATTGGAGTGAGTCTTGCTCTCCTCGTCTGCCCCACCATCTTTGATGCGATGAGTGCTGATTCCTTTGCCACGAACTTGAATAACTCTGGGGTCAGAATGTGCCCTCCTGGAAGGAACAGAAACCAGAGTGGACAGAAATGCTGGGCTGCTGGTGGGAACACGATGTTTCCATCCTTGGGATTGCCTCTGGGTCTCCCAGGCACATGGAGTGACCAAGTCGCAGCCCAACAGTCAGCTGCCACCGATAGCCCTGTCACTGCCAACTGCTCAGATCCAAGGACTTGAGACAGACTCATTTGTCCTCTGGCCACCTCCTCCAGTAATTGACCTAGGCCCCTTGAAATGTACATCCTACCTTTGTTGTAGACAGAATATGAGGAGGGAATAGGAGTTGTAGCTTACAGGCTGCAGCAGGAACCCCCACAGGGTCTCTTCCATGTTCACAGGTGAGGTGGGAATGATCCCTTAAGGGTACAGAGAGGAAGTCAATCAGCTGGTTTGGCAATATAGAGACATGGCCACATCATGCACCCAGATGGCTCAGAATGATAGCTCTGGTGACATGCCACCGGGCTCAGTCCTCAGCCACATCCACCAAACTTTTGTTTTACTCTGTACCCTATTTGAGAATACAAAGGGCAGTTTCACAGAGCAGACGAGAGCAGATTTTGAAATGCAATGGAATTTCACTGCTGTCTCACCTTTGCCACATGGCCTTGTGACATCGGGGCAGCTACTCAAGCTCTCTGGACTTCCATTTCCTCCTACAGGGTTGCGGTGTGTAGTGAGTGGTAACATATATGCTGCTGCCACACAGTAAGCCATCGGTGAGTGGTATGTGGTGGAGACAGTGTTGGGAGGACAGGCAAGTGTAACTCTTCTGCCCTCCATGGCTCCCACGTCAAGGATCACAGATGAATGGGAAAGCCCGGTTCTCATTTCCAAACGTTCAATTGCACGTGCACAAGTTCAAGCCAAATGGTGCAGCAGCAGCCTGTGTTGTGAGACTTTGGGTTTGGACTGTTGGTGGCTGGTGACCACCAAGACCAACAAAGACTTCCTGGCTTGTCCCCAGTGACAGCAAGTGGCCTTGGTGTCCCTGCCCGGCCTAGTGAGAACTCAGGAACCTGCTCCCAGGAGAATGGCTGGGTGACCAGGGCTCAGGTCCCTGTCATTGAAGGTGATCTCGTGTACAATGATGCTGCCTGATTCTTCCTGATTCCAGCAGGAGAAGTAGCCCTGCTGCAGGAGGGAGGCTCCTGCTGGAGGTCAGAGCTGTCCAAAGGGAACCTGGGCAGGGCATAGGATGGCAGTGAGCTCCCTGCTGCTGAAAGGAGGCTCAGCAGCTCAGCACCTGGGATTCAAGGACTCTGACTTCTAATCACTCAGCAGGGCAGGCTGGAGCTTTGCCCCATGTTAATTCTTGCCTCCCGCTTCAACCAGCTTGTTAAGAAAGCTGATTAGGCTGGGATGGACCACGTGCTGGAATTAATTTGCCTTCCCTGGGCTCCTCAGCACTCACAGAATGAAGTGCAAATCCCCAGGGGCCGATGCCTGGCTGGCTCTTCATCAAGCTGGTCAAGTTCCGCCTTAGGGGGTTTTAAAAGAAAGGCAAGGACTCCCAAACATGAAGCTGGTCTTATTCTGGGCAGCTCCACAGGCACCAGGCTCTCTGCGGCTGTCACCTTTGTCCTAGCTGTGCATTTGCTTTTTATCCCAAGTTACATAGGTGAGGTCGCTGCCCCTTACCTCTGCTTTGCCAGAGATAGAATAGAGGGTTTTGCATCTGAAACCATTTGCCCCAGAAAATAATGATACTGTGCCTGCAGGGCTAGGCCAATTCTATGCAGGGATCTGGGGCCTTCCCCTTAGCCAGAGGGCTGCGAAGGGCAGCCAGACAAAGCACACAGAACTTCCAGGGAATGGGTCCACAGCATACATGCAGTGGGACAGGAGACTGGGGAAGGCTTCCAGAAGGAGACAGCCATTTGATAGAGGGTAGGATTTCAGCAGGCAAAGATGTGTTGGACCCAAATCTTTATTCTGGACTCATTATATGTAAATAGTTGCTATGGTTTGAGACATCAGGCACTGGAAGCCCCTACCCCACCCATACTCCAGTGGGGACCATGTCAATATTTCTGCTCAGGCTTGCTATAAAGAAAGGGTCACAGAGCCAGCCAGGATAGTGCACACTTGTAATCCTAGTACTCTGGGCTGAGGCAGCAGGATTAAACGTTCAAGCCCAACCTGGGCAACTTAGTGATTTAGTGAGATCTTGTCTCAAAAATTTTTTTTTAAGGTTTTGGAGGAGCTGGGGACATAGCTCAATGCACAGGGCCCGAGTTCAATCCCCTCTACCTCAAAAAAGGGTCACATTTACCCCAACAGTCTGGGTCTGCTGGAGATGCACAGAAATGGGGGCCCCTGGCTTGAGGATCTATGGTGGCCGCTTCCCTCAGAAGCAGGGCATCTGTCCATCTCCTGACTGTGTCCAGGAGGCAGATGAGCTTGAAATTAATTTTCCATGCTGCACATTGGATTTCCCAGGGCCCATGCGCCATGTGAGGACACACTGGCAGCCCCGCAGCCAGGGATCGCCATGGAGACCAGAGGACTGGCCAGACCCAGACGAAGCTCCTTCACTGGCCCAGGGCCCTCCAGGTAACCACCAGCCCCCGCCCTCAGTTTGGGAAGGGGAAACTGAGGCAGAAAGAAGGTAGAAACATCTCCGGAAGCCATGCTGGGTGGGGGGCTGGGTTGAAGATTTGAAGAAGCACAGCAGCCTGCAATCCATCAGTAATTACCTTCCTCTCGGGGCAGGCACTTGAGCGCAGAGAAGGATGAGGAAAAAAACACCTTGATCTGAAATTGCTTTAATAAAAATAGATATTGGAGTACTTGCTCAAGGCTGGAAGAATTCAGAAAAAAAAAGCCAACCAGAGAAGGTGAGGAGACCAGGCAGGCACCCACACATGACAGGTGCTTGACAGACATCCAGCTCATATCTCCTTTCCCCAATTTTTTGTTACCAATGCCATAGTTTTACACAGACATGTGTTCATCTGTTATACTTAAGATTATCACCCAAATGTACTCATCTATTTATGCATCATCTTTTCTGTGGTGGAGGATGCTACTCTGCCATGATTATTAACAAGCTGGGCATTAAGGTGGTGGCCGGTGCTGTTTTACTAATACAACACTATTGGAATCAGGGCTCTTTGGTGCCAGGAAGAAAGTGTCTCTAAAGGAGCTCCAGTTTAAAAGGCTGGGGCAGGGCTGGGCCGGGATGCTGGGACACACTAACCACATAGACTCGTGGAAAGGAGGTTGTGGGGTGCAGGGAGGGGGCAGGGAAGGCAGTGGTCTTCTCCTCACTCTCTTGGTGCTTCAGGCTTTTTCTGCTCACACAGGTAGCAGCAGGCACAGGCTGAAATGGGTTCACCAAATGGTCTGGGTCCTGACCCAGTGGCTCCTAAGAGTGCAGAGGCCTGGGCGACTGCAGCGCGTCAGTTGTCAGCCCAGGTCCTGTTGGCTGAGGCTGGAGGGGAGAGAAGGACCTTGTTTCCACTGCCTCGGCAGAGAGGTGAAGTGAGGAGTGTCCGGCATTGAGAGGTTGGGCAGGGCAGGCACCTCAAAATGTCTACCCAGCAGGTTGTAGCATAGTGCTGTAAGATGTTTTGTTTTTACTCTTTTTTATTGGTTATTCCATTTATTAATGGGGTTCATTCTGGCAGCTTTGTACTCATGCATAACATACTTTGATCATTTTTACCCCTCCTGTCACCCCCCCCAGTTCCACATTTTGGGGGTAGGGGGATTCAATGTGTGTATTTTGCTGCATGGGTTCTTGTCTCAATGTAACCCTTCAGCGGACACCAGCATGTGACAAGGGGCAAGGTGTGAAAGCATTCATGCCTGAGTTGAGGTTGCTCAGTACTGATTTTACGGGAGGCTGTAGGTGCCAAGGCAAGGCCCAGGGTTGGGTCTTTCCCAACCGCCCTGTGCCAGACAGGAGAGGCAGCTCTGGGGGAGGCTCCTCACCAACAGGTCCAGCTAAGATGAGCTCTGGGGGTGAGGCCATGACCTCTGGTTCCCGGAGGGGCCAGGACAAATTGCAAAGCAACCTCTGCACAAGCCTGGGGAGAGAACTGGAGTTTGTAAAAGAAAGGCTTAATAGCATAAGCATTGGGAAAAGAATCTGTGCTGTGTGTGCATGTTTGTTCCTCTAAACCGTGTTCTGAACTTAACCATTTGAAAATTGTATTGTTTTTTATTCCTGTGCTTAGTGGTCAAAGCAAGGAATGATGAGTAGAAGGGCTTGCTACGGCCCCATTTGAGTGTCGTGCCCTCGCATAGTTAAAAGGATAAAGCTATAATAAAAGATACCATCCCTTATTGGGGAGACAGAGGAAAAAGGAATGAAAGGGCCCCACAAAGTGAGGACACAAAGCTGAGCATCAGGCCCCAGCCTTGTGCCTCACTGATCACCTCCACCTCTGCCAGACCCTGGAGACCAGAGAGTGGGCTGTCCTCAGCCTTTCTCCTCTGATCTAGACCTTTCTCATCTTCCAGGTTGTCACAGCTCATCTGCTCCCTGCGCTCATGGGCTGCCAGGCACTTACACCACGAGGACCAGAGACCTGATGCTTTTCTGGAGCGTTTCCATGGAACTGAGCTCATGGAGGTGTCCAGCCGAGAAAGCAATGCCCAGTCCAGTGTGGGTAGCCAGGAGCAGCCAGACAGAGGCAGAGGGTAAGGAACCGGAAGTGGGGGAGGGTACAGGCCCCAGCCACAGGGGCAGGAAGCTCTGCATTGCTGGTCCAGCTCAGCTGTTCTTGGAGGCCCCAGAGCCATTCCTTGAAGTTCTGTCCTCAGGGTCTTCGCAGGCTGCTATCTCCCACTCTGAGTCTAAGAAGCCCCAAAAGAGAGGAGGCCTTTGAACCGGGTGCCAGGCTCACATGACCACTGAGCCCTCCTGCATGCATGAGCTCCCCAAGATCATCAGGGGGTGCTGGCCAAGCCAATCTCTCTCCACCAAGGACTCTTGTGCCAGACTGCCCTGTGACCCGTCTTGTCAGAAAGCAGGGCCTTTTGCACCAAGAGTCTCATGGGTACTTAAATGGGCCCACATGTCATGTGTAAATGTACATGTGTTTTTCTGGAAAGAGGGTCCACAGGGTGGTCTAATTTTTGAGGAAAATTATCTATGTCCCATATGGGGGAGGGGGGCAGGTGAGTGGGGAGGGGGGCTGCTTTGTGGGGGAGGAGCTACCAAGCAAAGGCCTCTATGCAGCTGCTTGCAGGGTACACAGCCGAATGGGAGATGCACCTGTCCTACGGGGTCAGTGCTCTGTCCTCCTCCTCCTCCTCTTCCTCTTCCTCTTTTTCCTTTTCTTCCTGTTCCTCTTCCTCCCTCTTCTCCTTCTCTTCCCCCTTCTCCTTCTCTTCCTCCTCTTTTTCTTTCTCTTCTCCCCCTCTTCCTCCTTTTCCTCCTCTTCCTGTCTCTCCTCCTTGTCCTCCTTCTCTTCCTCTCTTTTCTTCTCTTGCTCCTCTTCTCTCCTTTCTTTTCTTTGCTCCCTTCCCTGTTCTCCTCCTCCTCTTCCTCACACACACACACACACACACACACACACACACTCACACAAGGCTCCTAGCCTCCCTTGGCCTTAAGAAGACCCCACAGGCTGAGATGGTGGAGAGAGCACAGGGCCACCCTGGGTGGACTCAGCTGTCACCCAGGTTCCACTTTCAGGTCAGTCTAAAGGAGGAGAGCGGTCAGTCGTGTAGGGCAGATGGGCCTCCCCTGGTCTCACAAGCAGGTGGCTTCTCCAACAAAGAAAATCAAGGGTTAGGAAGCTCTCTTTTGGATGGAATTTATACAGTGCGATTGTTGCAAAATAGATGGCCGCTATGAGCTTCACTGGAGAAAACATCATCTGCCCTTGTGTTCAAAAGGAGAGAGGCTCTAGTTTGGGGCTTCTCAGTGGACATGTGAGGGGGGTGACAGTGAGAAATGCTTGGGGAACCAGGAGGGTCTTTCCAGAGCCCCTGTCACCCCACCTTTTCTGTGTGTGGGTGAGAGAGAGGGGCTAACCTGACATTATAGATTCTGCAGTAGATTGTGAAATGTACGAGCATTCTGAAGATAAATCTGCAGTGTCATCAGCTACTAGCCCTGGTCCCTGTGGTTCCTATGAGCTACCTGCCATGACCGTGAGTGGACAAGCCACACTCTGGCTCAGAGGTCACCTGGCTTGCTTGAACCAGCAACGTCGGGCCCTGGAACGGTCACTAGGACCTCCCCGCAGAACACAGGGAGTGCTGGGAGATTCAGCTCCAAACATCCAGTGTGGCAGCACCAGTGCCACCTCCCACCAGGGCCTCCCGGGCATCGGGTGTGCCAGGTCCCGAAGCTGTGCAGTTCATGTCGGGGTGGGGACAGAGGGAGGGTAGGGTGAAACCAAAACTGGAGTGGAACTCCCATGCTGGATGGGACAGAATCCCTGTCCCAGATGATAGCAGCGCCCTGTGTTACCTGGGGAGAGAGGAACTGGGGTACTGGGATACTCACCTGGGGACAAGGTCCTAAGGAACTGATGACTCCCATGCTGCTTTCTCTCTGCGCCCCCACCCCCACAGCTCCTGGCCCCTGGCCAGAAACAATACTAACGCCTGCAACAACAAGGAGGAGGAGTAAGTACCAAGCTCCACACCGCCCACTCCCCTGTCCCCAGGTCACCTCCTCCCTGTAGGAGCCGACTTTACTCTCTCCATAGGTCCTCTCACTTCTCCCCCACCCCAAGCACCAGTAGACCTTTCTAGACTCCTGTCCCTTTCACCAGAAATCCATCCCCTTCCCCATAGACAGACCAGGGAGGGGACAAGGTTCACATGGTTTCCTGGGGAAGGTCATGCATCTGTTTGACTCGTGTTTCTCATCTATGAAGCAAAAGGGTCTTAGCAGATAAACCTGTTAAGCTTAATTCATCACCCCAAGCCACTGTACATCTGAAGGTGCCAACCTCGAGCCCCTGAGCAGAGCAGTGGGTCATCTCCCTGATGAGCATGTACCATCGCAAGCTCCCGGGTGCCGGGAAGTGCTCTTGTCCTAGGCCCAACTTGGGCCAATCTGGAGGGCATCACCAGGGCAGTGGAAAGAGGAAATTTAAATATTTCCAGGGACCAAGAAGGGCTACCCCACTCTGATTACTTCCTGTCACCAGTGCTGAGCTGGCAGATGACTGTAATAAATCAGTGTGGCTCTCACAAGTGCTGCCCAAGAGCCCGGGGTATGTGTGTGCACGTGTGTGAGGTGATCTGGGTGCATTAGTGTGTGCACAATCATACAGTTCTCCAGTCTTGGGGCTTCTCTGTGGAGTACCATGGGGGGAGAGAGGAGTCTTCACTGGAGGCTAGAGAAAAGCCATTCACATGAGCAAGAAATGCCAGTTTCTTGACTTCGGGTTGCCAGAGAAATGTCCCCAGGCCTTTTCTTACTTCCCTCTTTGTTCCCCAGAACATTTTTCTGTTTCCTGCCATAAAGGAAATATGTATTTTATTTGCATAAATTCAGACATCAAATCCAGAAACTTAAATGCCATCAGTCAAGAAAAATGAAATGAGTTCATCTACAAAACAGTAGCTACTGTGATATGCGTTTGACTGAAGGCCAACCTGACAGTAGACACCTTTCAAAGCTTGGTATTGAGTCTCCCAGCCAAGGCAGGGCTCTGGGGACTGGAAGGGCAGGCAGAAATTCTGTGGTTCTCTGGGCTGGGATGTGGGCAAGGGTAGGGGTGGGTAGTGTCAGCCGCCCTGAGCACTTAAAGCCTTCCAGAGGGGCTCAGGACATGGGTCCACAGCAGACCAATAGACAAAATTGTGAACTATTCCAAAATGGAGAGACCTGGGTGTAAAAGACATGGAAAACAATCCTCTGTGAAGATCTTCCTCTGCTCTTCTATCACATTTCTGGCATTTTTACTCAGTTCCTCAGATCCTGAATAACTTCTCCCTCCTGGATCAAGCCGTTCCCAACCAAAACCAGCATCATCATTCTGTAGCTCTATGTAGATTCTTTCTGGCAGATCTAGGTGGATTCAGGGGCACAGTTGGATGATGCTGTTTCTTTCCTCAGCCCTCAGCACTTTGGTTTTTTGTTTCTGTTTTTGTTTTGTTTTGTTGTTGTTTTGGGAGTTTTTTTTACCCCTCAGCACTTTGGTAGCCTTAGGAATGGCCCAAACCCAGGGCCATAAATCCTAGATGTAGCAAGCAAGCCTGGTGTCATGAAACTCCTCAGTGCACCCTGTAAGCTTGTAGGTGGCGCCCTCTGCTGGTGACATTATGACATGAGTGGCCAAAAACATTCCCCAGATGTTCAGGTCCTATGTGTAAATTCAAGGGGACAGAGGATGGGTGGCTGTCTCTGCTCTTCTCAGTTAACAATCTGATTCACATCTTATTCTTTTCCACTGTCCAAAGACAATCACAATGAAATTAGTCTATTGTTCTAATTACTGGAACCTGCAAATCAGTTACCTTCTATAGGAAAGGAGACTTTTCAAACTCAAGTGTGTAGATATCTTGGATCATCAGAGTGGGCCCAATGCAACCACATAACATCCTTAAAGCCAAAGATGGTGGAGGAAGAAGGGGTCAGAAAGATGAGACCGAAGGAAGAGAGGAAATTCCCAGTGTAAGAGGGACTTGACCATCATTATTGGCTTTGAAGACGGAGGAAGAGCACCTCAAACCAAGGGGTGCTGTAGCACCCAAAAGCTAGGAAGAGCCCTCACATTACAGCAGAAAGAAAATGGGGACCTCAGTCCTGCAATTACTAGGAGGTGAATTCTGCCAATTATCCAATGGGACAGGAAGCAGATTCTGCCCTGGGGCCTCTAGCTTGGGTCACAGCTCTGCTTGATTTTAGCCAGGTGAGACTCATTCTGGACTTCTGACCTGGAGGTCTGCAAGAGAATGGATTGCAAAACCACTAAATTTGTGATCATTTGTTTTGGCAGCAACAGAAAACTAACTCAACTTTTATTAGAAACTCTTTTGTAGTCTTCTTTTTAACTTAGAGGCTATTAGGAACAATCTTCCTGTGTCACTGTTCCTAGCAGTGTTTGAAGTGGTCAGGCAGAATTTTGTCATTTGTGATAGATCTTCTGCAGTCTCATGATTACATTGCTTATGTAGTATTTCTTTCTGCTTATTGTGAATAGTGGTAGTGATCATTCTTCTCCATGCATGTTTGCATATGCTCTCCATTCTTTCCTTAGGAGGTGCTAGGTAAACACACACTGATCTTTTTCAACAATTGTTTAATGGACAGATCTTTCCCAGCCTGTGCCTTCCTCCAGAGTGTGGGAGGCTGAAATAAGAGGGACCCAAAGGTGATTTCCAGTAGGTTCCCCACTTGACAGGAAAATCTTTTACCTTTCACCTTGGTTTACTCAACAATTCAATGGCTGCCTTGCTGAGCCTTTATAATTGTTAGTTAAATAACCTTTTAATGATATTCAAATCTTAAAAGGCACCCAGTAAAGAAGAGGAAGCAGAGGAAAGCTTCCTGAGGAGGTACCTGTTCAAGCCAGGCCATCCTGCAGACCTAGGCAGGACAGCTGCACAGCCCAACAGTGTCTGAATATGTGTCTGCACATGGCCTCCTTTGCAGGCCTCGATGACAGATTTGTGGCTAAAGATGCTCCTCATGGACTGGGGATGTAGCTCAATGGCTCTGTGCCTGCCTGGCAAGTGCAAGGTCCTGAGTTCTATCCCTGGTAGAGAAAGGAAGGAAGGAAGGAAAGAAAGAAAAGAGAAAAGAAAAGAAAGGAAAAGAAAAGAAGAGAGACGCTCCTCAACTTACAATGGGGCTACGTCCTGGTACAACATCTTAAGTTGGAAGTGCCGTAAAGAAAAAAAAAATGCGTGGAGTACCAGAGCCTACCAAATGTCATAACTTAGTCCAGCCTTCCACAAAAGTGTTCAGAACACTTACAGCAGCTCCAGTTGGGCAAAACCTTCCAACACAAAGCCTACATTCTATACGATAACGCAGAGAGCATTGGACTGCCCAGCGCAGAGAGAGAATTGGGCAGTATATTGCTAACCTGGAAAAGGGTCCAAATTCAAAAGTCAAGGTAAGGCTCCTACTGAATGCATCATTTTCACAGCACTGTAAAGCTAAAAAAAAAATCCTAAGTCAAACCATCTTTGTCAGGGACCTTCTGTGTGTGCGTTATACACCTGTCATGGTTTACGTGAATTTTTTGTCTCTTCTGCTCACTAGCTTTCTCAAGACCCAGGTTTTCATTTGATCCAGAGAAGATTTTGAGAACAACCTACAGATCATACAAAGAGTTTGACCTGTGATTTCCAAAAGTCCATGTGGCTTTTCCACCATCAACATGTAGATTCGGGTTTATTGCTTGGTAACACCAAATATCTCTGGTCTCAGGCTGTTCATGATCTCCCAAGAGCTCATGAAAATAGATCAGAAATTGTAGAACATTAGGCTGAACCACTAATTTCCCAATACATAGTGAGCAATCATAATGAAATCAATAACCTAATTTCAGCGTAAATGTAGTGAGCAAGGTAAAGAGGATTCCCAAGTGTGTCCAAGGTCAGCTGAGAGGAACTGCTTCAGAAACATGGGACCATACTCAAATGCACATTCCCAGGCCCCAGGTCCTGGGCAGACCCCGTGAATCAGCATTTTCTCAAACCTCCCTCAGCTGGTTCCATGTCTCCCTCAGCATCCTTCAGTGATATGCCCACATGGCATCTTCATTCCCAGCATCCCAAAGGATGAGGATGCTGCCACAGGGAACATGGGAATGTCATCACCATGACTTCACAGTCAACCATGACTTCCGGGGCAGTTGAGCTGGGAGGGAAGGACCTCCAGAATCCACCCTGGCTCCTGGCCCGTCTTCCCATTCATGGATGCACTGTGTGACCCCTGAGACTGAGAGGACTGTGTTGTGGACAGCCACTTCTTGAGGGCCAACCTGAAATTGCTCTTAGGTTACTAACCTAATGCAGGTCTGTAAAGCTTCCAAAGCTGTGGGCACTCAATACCTTGCACTGTCTGTGTATGTCTGGTTTCCAGGAAGAAGAAGGACGCCATGGTGGTGGACCCCTCCAGCACCCTCTACTACCGCTGGCTGACTGTCATTGCCCTCCCAGTCTTCTATAACTGGTGTCTGCTGGTGTGCAGGTGGCGTAGGGGTGGCTGGAGGGCCTGGGTGGGGACAACTGGGCCTAGAAGATGGAGCTTGGAGTCTCACTCAGAAGACCAGCATTCTGGTCCCCTCATAGCCACCATACAGTTCTGGTGGCTCAGCTTCCTCATCTATAAAACCGGGGGATCCTCAAAGAGCACCCTTGGAGTGCTCTGAGCCCTTGGAGGGGAGCAGGGCTGGAGCTAGATGGGTGGGGTTCTGGTGCTTTGAGTCCTTTGTGAGTCATCTGCAGAGGGGACAAGCAAGTGGCTGCTGTTGGCAGGGGAAGAGGGTGGGCCTGGGAATCAGGATTTCAGCAGAAATGCCAGGGGCATTTCTGAGCATGTGCAGTGTGTGGGGGGTGGTGCTGTTCTCTGAGGGTAAGGTTGGGTGCTGGGGCTTTTCTAAGGGTTCCACTCTGAGTGTAGAGATGTGGGTAAACATTGCAGGTATTCCTAGGCGAGCACGTACTTCTGGGATTTGGCGAATGCAGTTATTCACCTGGAGATCTGCAGAGGCTTCAGAACTCTCCTAAGTGATCTGCAGATGGGAAGCGCAGGGAGGGCAACAGCTGCTGTCTGATAGGCATGAGGCGGGGTCAGGGCCTTTCCAGGGAAGCCAGCTGTTTGGGAATGTGGGGCCCACATGCTGCTCCTCTGAGGGAAAGCCAGGAACTTGGGCTTCCCTGTGCAAACCTACACAGTGGGGACGCCAGAGGGAACTGTGTTCTTCTGAGGGCCAAACTGGGCCTTGGGAGCCTTCCTGAGCATGCATCTGTCAAGGACATAGGCAAGCACTCCTCTTCAGGGACTGCAGGGGCTCTGGGCTTTCCTGGCAAGTCTGCATGCTCAGCTGTTGCTCTGGAGTTAAGCAAGGGGCTGGGGGCCCTCCCAGGAGGCCCACAGGACAAGGGTACATACAGAGGCAGGCTCTGTACTTCTGAGAGCAAGGGCACTTGGGGTTGTCTAACCACATCCCAGGACTGACCTGACATTGCCCTGCGAGAGTGAGTGGTGTCTTTGGGGCTTTCCCGAGCCACTGTGCAAGACCAGGATGCAGGGGTGATGCCATCTCTTTTGAGAGTAAACAGTGGACTTTGGGATATTTCTGAGATGTGTGCAAGATAGCCACTGCGCTAGGGGGTGTGCAATGAATATTGGGGCATTCCTGATCATGCCACATGGCAGGGATGCAAAGCAGCCCTGACACTACCTTTGTTAGTCACTTTTCCATCTCTGTGGTGACAAAATGCTTGAGCTGAACAACGTAATAGGAGGAAAGTTTTATTTTGGCTCATGGTTGAGAGGTTTCAGTCCATGGTCTGCTGGCTTCTTTGCTTTGGTCCTATAGAGAAGCAGAGCATCATGGTGGGGAGCAAAGCTGCTCACAGAAACAGGAAGAGGCCAGAGTCCCAATGGCCTCTTCCAGGACACACCTCCAGTGATTTAACTTCTTCCCTGGGCCCCACCTCCTGAGACTTCCACCACCTCCCAATAGCACCAGAGTCTTCAGCACATGAGCCATTGAGGACATTTAAGAGCTAAACTATAAGGCCCAGGGATGTAGCTCAGGGGTGCTGTGACTGCCTAGCAAGCACAAGGTCCTGTGTTCAATCCCTGGTACCAAGAAAAAAAAAAAGGATCCAAACCATAATGCTATCCAAGCATAAGGGTAGTCTTTTGGGATTATTAAAGGAAAGGTAGTTTCTCACTCTTCTGAGGGTTAGCAAGGCAGATGAAAAGGGAGAGAAGGGAGAGCCTTTCCTAATAAGTGGGCCCCTGAGTTTAAGCTGAGCTCTAGGGATACAGGGGGAGCGGCTGTTCTTAAGCATGAATGGGAGATTTGGGGGTGGCTGAGCAAGTTGTAAGGGTGGGCTATGGGGCAAGCTGCCACTCTGGTGAGGCTGGGAGGGGAGCTTGGAGTGCTGTCTGTATGAAATCACGAGCATACAGAGGTAACAGGCAGAAAATATTTACTGGCTTGTTTAATTGTCTGAGATTCTGTGACTCTCTCAGAAATTCTGTTTTTATTAGAATTTGACTCCAGAAAGTCCTTGGTCCATTTACCTAGCTCCACCAGAGAGGCCTAGAGATGCTGTCCCTCCTGGGGTTCTGTAGCTCCCTGGAGTCTTGTAGTTAGCTGTTCATTCTTTAGGGATAACCTCAGCTCTTCTTAGGAGCTCTGAGACTGTCTTAGTCACTTTCCTGTCACTGGGACAAAATATCTGACGCTCACAACTTAAAGAAGAAGAGGTTTAGTTTGGCTCACATTTTCAGTCCATGGTCGGCTGGCTCCAAGGCAGAACAGCACAGCAGAAGGGTCTGGCAGAGGAGAGCTGCTCACATCACAGTGGTCAGGAAGCAGAGAAAGAAGAGAGGAGCCAGGGAGGAAGACAGACCCTTCCAGGTCAGCCCCCAATGACCACCTCTTCTGACCAGATCCCACCTCCTAGCCACACATCAAACTCTAAATCACAGATGAATCCACTGATGTGAATAGCACTCCATGATCCAGTCACCTTCCAAAAGCCCTCCCTCAGAACACGTGAGATTTTAGGGGACATTCTGGATCTAAACCTTAACAATGACCATAGGGCAGAATGGCTTCTCAGAGCCTGGGTCTCCTCCTCAGAAGCCTGGGGTGACTGCGCTTGGGTAACAACCCCACAGGCAGGGCTGTTATTGCATGAAAGGAGCCATGCACGTGATGCAGAGCTGGCTTATGACGGTGCTGTGACCACAGTCAGGCCCCTCATGCCTCATGCTTGGCTTGTTTAGGGCCTGCTTTGATGACCTTCAGTCTGAGCACCTGACACTGTGGCTGACCCTGGACTACTCGGCAGATGTCCTCTATGGCCTGGACATGCTGGTGCGAGCCCGGACAGGTGAGTGTGCCCCAGGCCAGGCCACAGGCCCTCAGTGGAGGGACCACAAGGCCCATAGGAAGTGCTCAGGGAGATCTAGAATGGCTGGGTGGATGTTACTATCTTTGGCCATGGGAGTCCAGGCAGGCTGGGGCCACTCCAGCCAAAGGGTGTGTGCTGTTGTCTCAGCCCCTCAGCACTGAGCCCTCGGACAGGACCCTGAGCAGGGGTCAGGTCGCCTGGGCTCAGGGCTCTGCATTCCCAATAAGCTCAGTGACCCTGAGCAAGTCAAATTGTCTTGGTTTCTTCCTCATCTGAGACACAATACCTGACACCCACAAGTTGAAGGAGAGGTTTATTTTGGCTCTTGGTTTGTAGAGATTTTAGTTCATGGTCCCCTGGCTCCAAGGCAGGCAGCCTGGCAGAGGGGGTGTGGCAGGAGAGTTTTGCTCATGCATAACATGGCAGACAGGAAGCAGAGTGAAGGGAGGAGCAGGGAAAAGGTAAATCAGACCACGCCCCCAGTGACCCACCTCTTCCAACCAGATCTTACCTCCTACAGCAAGTTAGCTATAAACTCACCTTCAGGCACCTTCATCTAATTTGCACAAAAATATCATCCAAGCAAGTGGAGGCCCTGCTTATCTTTTCCATGCTTTTTGAACTAGAAACTGTACCATATTTGTCACATGTAAACACCACCAGCAGCAGATCTGGGTGGGGGGTTTTCAGGATACGAACAGCATTTCAGCCACATCTTGCCTACTTATTAGAACTGCCACATGAGTCAGGCATGATGGTGCACACATGCAATCACAGCTACTCAGGAAGCTGAGGCAGGAAGATCATAAGTTCAAGGCCAGCCTGGGCAACTTGGCAAGACCCTGTCTCAAAATAAAATTTTTTAAAGTCCAGGAATGTAGCTCAGTGGTAGGGCACCTGCTTAGTATACACAGGGCCCTGGGTATAATCCCCACACCACAAAAAAATAAAAAAGAACTATTGCATGAGGCAAAAAGTACAGGCACGATCATTTCCACTTATTGATTCAGAAGCCAAGGCCAGAGATCTTGGATTTTCCTGAAGTCTACCTTCACCACCCAGCCAGACCAGACTGGTACCCCTGCTTCCACAGTGGTGCCCAGCACAATTTAGAAGACCTGCAACACAGGGCTGGAGGCTCACATGGGCGACCTGCCAGCCCTGATGAGCTCCCTCTGCTGTGGCAGAGTGGCACATGTAGACCCAAGTGAGCGGCCCACTGTGCTGGCCACCCCTGATCTCAGACAGGCTTTGGTGGGGCAAGACACCAGCCCTCAGGCACTGATTCCACACTTCCCTATGTTTGGTACTGCCCTTGCCAACACCAGATTTAGCAGGAAGCTGGGGAAGTGGAACCATGGTAACCAAATTAATACTGGATTGTAGTCCATGGGAACAAATCATCAGAACTGACAGAGGAATCTTAAAGAACTGGCAGAGAGTCCCAAAGCACAAGGAGTGCTCTGTGACCCCCTATGTGCTTCATAAGCACGCATACAGTTGGCCCTCTGTGACAACAGACCTACAGCCACATATCCAAGCAGCTGGGAATTTTAAATGTTTGGAAAAAAATTTGTGTTTGTACTGACTATGTAAAGGCTTTTTTCTTGTGATTTCAAACAGTATAATGTGATAGCTGTTTACATAGCACTTACATTGTATTAGGTATTATAAATAACCTAGAGATGATTTAAAGTATAGAAGAAGCCTGAGGCAGGATGATCTCAAGTTTGAACCCAGCCTGCCCAATTTAGAGATTTAGTAAGACTCTGTCTCAAAATGAAAAAAATTAGAGATGTAGCTCAGTACAAAGGTCCTGGGTTCAATTTCCAGTAACATTTTTTTAAAAGTATGGGGCCGGGGATTAGCTCAGTGGTTTCGCCGCCTGCTGCGCAAGCGCAAGGACCCGAGTTCGATCCCTGGTACCAAAAAAAAAAAAAAGTATGTGCTAGGATGTACATAGGTTATATGCAAATACTATGCTGTTTTATACAAGAGACTTAAGCTTCGGAGGCTTTGACAGGGCAGAGGAGGAACCACTCCCCCACAGATACCAAAGGACAATTGGATAACAAAAGAACAACATGAGGAATAGGGGCTGGAAGTGGGGCGTCCCTTATACTGTATGTGCCAACAAACTCTACTTTCCATTTAGAAGAGTCAGTCCTACCCAGAGTCTAGCCTCAGTGTTGCCCTAGACCAGGACCTGTGGCACTGGAACTTGTTACAAGCACCCCAGACTTCAAGCTATGGTTGCAGATCCAGCACATTTTCAAGCAAATCCCAGGCAGTGAGCACTCTAGAATGTATCTCTTAACTTTAAAAGGCTCCTTTTAATAAATATATATATGTAAAATTTCCATTTATCTTTAAAAATTTAATACTCCTTCTTTTCTGTCATCTAATACCTAATCTAGTTTCAAAGTTTCAAAGACTCACTTGGTCTATCTTTTGAAAGAGTGACCAGATGAGAAATTCATAGAAGAAAAGAATCAGAGTGAGTCTCCTGGAGAAATTGTGTTGCTTTGTGAACTATTTCCATTAATGTGTATCATCATGTATTGTGTGTCAGGATGTAAAGTCTCTTTCTGTGGTTATGGTCAAAAACAGTCAGGCTCTCTGATGCCCACAGGACCTTCTTCTTCTTCTTTAGGTTTCCTGGAACAAGGCTTAATGGTCAAAGATGTGAAGAGGCTGTGGAAACATTACACAAAGACCTTGCAGTTCAAGCTGGACATGTTGTCCCTGGTCCCCACGGACCTGGCTTACTTAAAGTTGGGTATGAGCTACCCAGAACTGAGATTCAACCGCCTACTGAAGTTTTCCCGGCTCTTTGAATTCTTTGACCGCACGGAAACGAGGACCAATTATCCCAATGTGTTCAGGATCGGGAACCTGGTCTTGTACATCCTCATCATCATCCACTGGAATGCCTGCATCTACTTTGCCATTTCCAAATTCATTGGTTTTGGGACAGACTCCTGGGTCTACCCAAACATCTCCAACCCAGAGTATGGACGCCTCTCCAGGAAGTACATTTACAGTCTCTACTGGTCCACCCTGACCCTGACCACCATCGGTGAGACTCCACCCCCTGTGAAAGACGAGGAGTATCTCTTTGTGGTCATAGACTTCTTGGTGGGCATTCTGATCTTTGCCACCATCGTGGGCAATGTGGGCTCCATGATCTCAAATATGAATGCTTCAAGGGCAGAGTTCCAGGCTAAGATCGACTCCATCAAGCAGTACATGCAGTTCCGAAAGGTGACCAAGGACTTGGAGACTCGGGTTATCCGGTGGTTTGACTACCTGTGGGCCAACAGGAAGACAGTGGATGAGAAGGAGGTGCTCAAGAACCTCCCGGACAAGCTGAAGGCTGAGATCGCCATCAATGTGCACCTGGACACCCTGAAGAAGGTCCGCATCTTCCAAGACTGCGAGGCAGGGCTGCTGGTGGAGCTGGTGCTCAAGCTTCGGCCCACCGTGTTCAGCCCTGGTGACTATATCTGCAAGAAGGGGGACATTGGGAGGGAGATGTACATCATCAAGGAGGGCAGGCTGGCTGTGGTGGCCGATGACGGGGTCACCCAGTTTGTGGTCCTTGGCGATGGCAGTTACTTTGGGGAGATCAGCATCTTAAACATTAAGGGGAGCAAGTCAGGCAACCGCAGGACGGCCAACATCAGGAGCATTGGCTACTCAGACCTGTTCTGTCTCTCCAAAGATGACCTGATGGAGGCCCTCATCGAGTACCCCGAGGCCAAAAAGGCCCTGGAGGAGAAGGGCCGGCAGATCCTGATGAAGGACAATCTGATCGATGAGGACCTGGCCAGGGCTGGGGTGGACCCCAAGGACATTGAGGAGAAGGTGGAGCACCTGGAGTCCTCCCTGGACACTCTACAGACCAGGTTTGCACGGCTGCTGACTGAGTACAGTGCCACGCAGATGAAAGTGAAGCAGCGCCTCAGCCAGCTGGAGAGCTGGGTAAACATCTGTGGGAGCAGCCTGGCCTCCTCAGAGGCCCAGGGGGTTGCTGCAGAGATAGAGGACAAACAACAGTGAAAATGTGGTGTCTGTCTGGCTCCTGCTCCACAAGCCAGCTGTCAGGGCAGTGCTACTGTCTGCAGATGCATGGCACAGGGCTTAGCTGGGCTTCCAGCCTAGCCCCTTTGTAAGCCCAGTTTTCTCATCTAGAAAGTGGGCCCAGGAAGTGCCAGGTTATTGTCGCTTTGATTTTTTTAAATGGCAATTTTCATATTTTGTCACTTACAGATATGATTTTTTCTTTCTTTCTTTCTTTTTCCCCGCCTAGCACTGGGAAATTGAACCCAGGGCCTTCACAATAAGCTGCATTCCCAGTCCATCCTTTAGGTTTTATTCTGAGATAGGGTCTTGCTAAATTGCCTAGTCTGGACTCAAACTTGAAATCCTCCTGCTTCAGCTTCCCAGAGTGCTGGGATTATAGGCATGCACTACCAAGCCTGGATAATGTGGGATTATTGTGAGATCCACATGAAATGCTGCACGAGGCAGGGCTTTGGAAAGTGTGAAGTGTCCTCAGACCAAGAATGTGTATGGGGGACTCTGATTTTTTTTTTTTTTTTTTGCTATGTTGCTCAGGCTGATCTCAAACTCCTGGGCTCAAGTGACCCTCCTGCATCAGCCTCCTAAGTAGCTGGGACTGCAGGTGCACACCACTGCACCCAGATCTGTTTCTTAATGGAATCTAGGAGGAGATTTCAGGCTTTTTAACCTAACATTCTTGTAAATAGAAGAATATTGTCACCCTTTCCCTCCCTAACCTCACTCCACCACGCGCTGATTATAAAAAGGTCACTGGAAGTCTAAAGAACAATGTAGTAACTCATGGTGAACTTTATGCAAGACAGGTTAGTATATGACTCAGAGGTGGGCATCTTCCCTGTGCCCTCTGGGAGCCCAGAACCTGGTTCTTTGGTAGTGCTGTGGCAGAGAGTGTGGGATAAGAGAAGCCGGGCCGTGCCCCTTCAAGCCAGTGAAGCAAATCTCGACTCCCTACCATGAGCCCCTCAGATAGCATCATCTGCTTGGTAGAACAAAGCATTTCAGTTAGTAAAGGGACAAAGGGGTTCAAAGACAGCCTCTGTCCCATCCTAGAGGTCAGACCTTAGGAGAGGGGTTGCTGCTGGCTGTTACTGATCATTTAGGAATGTGGAGAAGTTTGTAAACCCAGGAATTAGGACACTATCTGAGGAGGGGCATTGCCTGGTGACACTGCTCCTGGGTGTCCCCAGAGTAGGCTGGAACCAACTGCCACCACCAGGATGGCCTGGTGCTGCTGGCCTACGTAATCTCCTGGGGTGACCTATTCTAGCTCAGAGAGAACTATGTTCAGGGACAGCCTTGTATGTTGGAAGTCGGAAGGGTGTCCTAAGTAAAAAACTAGCTGACAACTAGGACTTTTCAAAGATGAGACCATAGGCTAGATCTTTGCAAACTGTCCTTTCATTCTTAAAGCAGCCTCAGGCCCACCTGAAGTTGTATTCTAAGGCAAAGCTCCTAGCTAGATGGAAGCCTGTAGAGTTCAGAAACTAGCTTTTGAAAAAATCCATTAAATAGAACCCTATTAATATTTTATAACAGATTTCTATATTTGGATACTATATTTGCAATTAGGACCTCAGTGTTCCAACCTTCACTTAAATACATGTTGCAAATTACACAAAGATGAGTCTTTTTTCTTTTCCTTTCTCCATCTTTCCTCCCTTCCTCCCTCTCTCTCTCCTTCTCCTTTTCTCTTCCCACTCTCCCTTTCTCCCCCAATTCTGACCTCCCCCTTCCTTCTCCTCCTCCTTCCTTCTTCTCATTAGATAAAATATCCCACTTTGCTCTTGAGGTCTCTGTCTCTGTTGTTATAATCCATATGTTATGTAATTGAGCCCTAATGTAATTTGTACAAAAGGAGCTGCAACTTCAATTATGTATTTCAGATTTATGTGGGTCTCTTCTCTGAGTACATTTGACCATTTATTATGGGTCACTGGACCATTTTAACTTTCTAAAATGAATCAGAAGTTCTATTAAAAGTCATAGATTGGGGCCGAGGATTTAGTTCAGTGGTTCCACTGCCTGCCTTGCAAGCACAAGGACCTGAGTTCGATCTCCAGTACCAAAAAAAAATCATAGATTTAAGCTCATATTATGAACAAAATGTGACTGGTAATGTTTTCTCAAAATGTATACATTTTGAAGACTTAACTATTAATGATGCCTGTGTTCATATTTGCACAGGAGAAAGACCTGGATTAAAAACTATTAATCACTCTTGCTTTGGCTCCTATTATGAGGGAAGTTTCAGCCCCAGAATACGTTTCTAGGGCAATGGTTTCCCTAGAAAAAATGGGTGCTGATGAGCCAGGAAAGGAATATACTTGATGAGAAGGAACACACAGCCAGAAGTAAGTGAGACAGTGTGCTCATATATACCCAGAGACATATACAAGTGTTTACTGCAAATTGTTTTTTAAAAGAACCTAAATATCAGAATCTAAGCACAAAGAAAAAATAAAAAATATGCTGGGTATTCTACCAAGGAGAATTTACTGGAGGGAATTGATAATTTACTAGAGGGAATCCATGTCAGTGCTAAAGGAATGGATGAGCAGAAGAGGACACTCAGTTGTGCAGGGAGGGTGAGTACAGAAGTAACCATACATGCCTAAAATTGGGGAATCGGACAAGGTGCTTGGAGGAGCAGCCTCAAGAGCTGGAGCTCAGATCTTGGAGGCTGAGGTGCTGCTAGCTGTTACTAATAATTCAGGAACTCAGAAAGGTTTGTGAAGGTAGGAATTTGGACACTGCCTGAGGAAGTGCATTGCATGGTAGTGATGGTCCTTGGAGTCCCAAAAGGAGGCTTGAACTAACAGTCACTGTGGCTGCCAGCACTACACAACCAGAACACCAGGCACACCGGAAGAAGCAAGTCCCTCTCCCTTCCCTCTGCCCTGCAGCCTCCCCCAGTTGGCTCCTTGTTGGCAGTCCTACCAGGACTTTGAACTTGACTGTCAGAATATCTTCCATTTATGTACCTGGAACAGGTGGTGAAGACCAGCTTTCCTTAATAAATGACCCTCTCTCCTGTGACTGACAGTGCACCAGCAAGGCTTCTTTCCTTTGTCCTGAAGCTTTTTCCATTTGAGAAAGCAGAAATTCCTGAGAAAAGACAGGATGGGCCAAAGGGAAGGGAGCATTTATTAGGCACCTCCTGTATGTTAGGCACTGTTCTTCTGGCAGAAGTATAAATTTCTTCAGCCAATCATTACATCTATTGAAAGAACAACTTTCCTCAGGCATGTGTTCATTTAAAGTTATCATTAACATGTTTTGCAACTGATTCATTGAAAAGGTCTTGTTGATAGGAAATTCTGGAAGAGGTAACACTGTAAGGGTAGAAAGTAGCTCAGAGATTGGAGGGGCTGGGAGAGGGTGCATGCTTGATTAAAAAGGGGAAATGGGAATTTTGAGAGGGATGGGATTGGATTTATGGGATGAGGGTTTTGGATACATGACTCTATCAGTTTGTCCAAACTCATAGAACTATACATTATAAAGAGTAAACTTAAATGAAGGCAAATTTAAAGATACCAACAAGGACAATCCTAGGATGGACAGAAGATTTTGACAAAAGAATCTAATAATTACAAGTAATGGTGTAACCCAGTGGTGGCAAACCTATGGCATGCATGTCGCAGCTGGCTGTTATTATTGAAAGCTCTAAAAGGTTTGCCATCACTGATGTAACCTTACTGAAGGATGTAGGGTAAAATGATGACCTAAATAAATTTTATAAATGGTGGTTTGGAAAGTAAGGCTCAAGGCAAATGTGCAATTACTAGCTGTAAATTTGTTTTACATGGGAATATGAGCTATTACGTTTGAAATTACATGCACACTATGAATGGATAAAATAGGAGCCAAGTTTGTGACACCCATAGAAGTTACAAACAAGGTGATAGTATTATAGACAGCTAAGTTGGGTAGAAATACAATAGGCAGTCAGACAGGCCTGAGTTCTCTAGAGTCAGCGGCCAGAGACACATTAGTTGGGGCCAAAGTCTCAAAATGATGACAAAAGGGGCCGGGCATTTAGTGGTGCTGGGGAAAAGTAGTGCTACACCTGCCTCCCAAGCACAAGGTCCTGAATTTGATCTCTGGTTGGGGGTGGGGTGGGTATGATGACAAAAGGACCAGGCCTCCATACTTCCCCAAGGGATGAGTGACAACACCTGGTCTGGTAAAGTCTAGATAGGCATCAGTCACCTCAGTGGGTGACCAGGACCCCTAGATCTATCACCTACCTGAGAAATTCTTTGTTCTTTCCATGTACTCTCAAGACATGACTTGCCTCCCCCTTGGATCAATTACCTAAGCGACTATACTTGTAACCTTACTGGTTAATCATAGTTTCAACCCATGTTGCACCCATGTGGGTTTTGCTCTATAAAACCTCCCTGTAAATTGGGGTCCCCAGCTACCCATTTGGGACCCCTTTTGTCCCTCTTAGAAGCTATCTTTCTCTCAATAAATTCTTCCTACTCTTAACCTACATTGCTCCTAGAATTCATTTTTTGATTTTTAGAGAATATGAGCAACATATTAGACATCTAACAGGTTGGGAGACATAATATTTTCATATTTCATCTCTGGTATAATTTCCTGTATCAATAGGACAAGGATGAACCATATGGTCTTGGATTGGAATCAGATGAACTTGTGTTTGTTTATATAGACACCTCTTCTAGAGGAAACTGCCCTTCCCTGTCCACCATGCAGGGGCAGCTTTGGTGGCCATGGTTGGTCCCACATGGTCCCCCTTCACCAGCCTGGTTGTGGAGGGGCACATTACCCAAGGATACTGATCTTCATGTAGCCTTGCTCTGTGAGAATGACCAGCTTGACCAATCAGGTCCACACTCTCAAGGATTTGAAACAAATACAATAATTGTAAGGCCCTCAGTGTGGGAACTGAAAGCAGAAGACACTCTGGGTAGAAATTGTGGTCTAAGGATGTAGGCGCTGGTGTAGTGCAGCACAGGGTTGCCGTGGCAGAGCTGCAGCAGCTCCAGGTGCAGGAGGCAGTGGACTCCATTGTGAAGAGTGTGGAGAGAGAGAATATCTGGAAGATGCAGGGCCTCATGTCCTGGTGCAGTGCCAACTGCTGTGGGGACAACCAGGAGTCCATGCAGCAGGTGTACCAGTGCACTGAGCACTGCCATGCACCTCTAGCTCAGGC